AAATTTGTACCTTGTAGAATCTTATCTTGTTGAGTCATAAGATCAGCAACAGATACTTGTGTATCCGTGGGTTTATCATTGTCATCATCAGCTGCCCAAGAGGTAGTGCCTCCATCAGCAAAAGCTGATGTTCTTGATGTAAGTAAACTTGCACGGGAAGATGCATAGCTATTTGTACGTACATCGTATAACTTTTGTAATTGTACATCTTTGCTTTCCAATATTTCAATTTGACGTATTCTGCGTTCTGCCTCTTCAACAGTTCTGTATATTTTTACATTCTAAGGAAAAAATTTATTTCTACACTCTGACAGATTTTGGTTCTTCACAGAGTAAACGAGCAAAAGGATACATAGCTTTAGATTTTAAAGCATCATCTACTTTGTTCTTGAGTTGTTGAACTTCACGACTATATTGTTTCAAATGAATTCGTATATTCGCAGATATACTTGCGTACGCTTGCAGAGTTTTGGAATGTTTATTGCGCGCTGTAAATTGTTCCATAATTTCTCTGAAAAGCTTCTCGCAGGCTTCATATTCTGCTAACCTATGGAGTTTAAACAAAAGTGTTTCAGATTCTCACTTCAAAAGTGGACCAAAATCAATTAATAATTCTTACCAGGGATCGTTGTCTTCGATGTAAATGAGTGCCATTTTTTGCGAATTTTGTGGAGATACCTAAAAATATTATTTGACATGTAACATTCACATAAATTTCTTGTAATTTATCATCAAACTGTTTGGACACGTAATTTTCAACGACAATTGTCGATAACGCAGCAGCAAGGGGAAACGAACGTACCTTTAAACTGTTCGGCCGTTCAACGTCTAAATAAACTGAAACACATTAATAAGAAAAAAATGTTATGTTTTGGAAAAGTACAATGACACTTGCCAACTCGAATGATTTAGCGCTAAGAAGATAGCGACGGATAGGAAAAACGTGGATGGGCGCATGCGTTCGCGACAATAATTAAAGAATGGCGGTAAGTGATGGGGGGAGGGGGAGATTTAGTGCGAGGGAGAAGGGAAAAAGAGATCGTTTATAAGAGTGGAAGAAAGAGAAATAAAGGGAACATCGACGAGTGGAAAAAAGAAGGGACATATGGCATAGTGGCCAGTGTGTGGTAAGACCAGTTATATTTTTATTATTAACTGGTATATTTCGCGAAGGCTGTAGGACGAGTGTGTGTTAAATGTCGAAGAGGAAACGAGAAGAAACGCGAGAAAATGTCGGATAAAAGTGAAACTCGGTGATCCAAGCTGTAGAAATAGCAGAGCGCGAACGGAAGGGAAATTTAGTGGAGATTGTGGTGTATTCACGTTTGCCTATTGAAAGGTCACGATCATCAGCAACCACTGCGTCAGTGGATGATTAATTGAAAGTGGGAAACCTTCGCGAGAAGCTTGGTCGTATACAGGTTGACACGTACGAGGGAAGAAGAAGAACACGTACGACAAGAGATAACCTGAAGATTTCGCACGTACTACAATCACTTGACAGAAGATCTACGAATGGAGCACGGGTGCGTCTGAGATGAAATTTTGCGCACGAATGGAGTACCGTTGTTATTGTTGTGCATATTGATTTTCAACGCGCGATTCGTATTCCCGACATTTATTTTCCATTGCAAAAAGTGTGATTTTTGTTAATTTTTTTTTTTTTATTATTTGCGACTATGACGAATGCTGTTTGTATCTGTAATTATATTTTATCTTTTGCAATTACACTAGAGTATTATTATTATTATTATTATTACTATTCGGAACACCAATTTTTCTCAGATTAAAATATGAGTAGTACGGTGACGACTATATCTTTCGACGATATGCCATCTACAGCTGTCAATGAAATTTCTAATTCCAAAGCAGCTCCAATATTCTTGCAAACACGAGCAGCTCAAGGTATTGCTGGTGCATTTGTTTGGGTTGCACTGTTTTTAACATGTCAACAGGTACTTTATCACAATGCTTTTATAACGTGCTTTTGGCCGTGCATTGGCTAAGAAAATAGAAACTAATTTGATTCGATTTTGCTTTGTAGATTTACCAACACTTAAGGTGGTACACTAATCCAGCGGAACAAAGATGGATAGTGAGAATTCTCTTCATAGTTCCAATATATGCAACGTACTCTTGGGTGTCCCTACTATTTTTTAACAGCGAAAGTTATTATGTTTACTTTTTTACTGTGCGAGATTGTTATGAAGCATTTGTTATATATAACTTTTTGTCTCTATGCTACGAGTACCTGGGTGGTGAAGGAAATATTATGTCTGAAATACGTGGCAAACCTATTCGTTCTAATTGTTTATATGGGACATGCTGTTTGGTTGGGAAAACATATACAATCGGTTTTCTTAGATTTTGCAAACAAGCCACTTTGCAATTTTGCTTGGTGAAACCACTGATGGCATTTGTCATTATATTCCTTCAAGCCTTTGGTCATTATAGAGACGGAGATTGGTCTCCGGACGGAGGTTATATTTATATAACTATAATTTATAACATCAGCGTATCTCTTGCACTTTATGGACTTTTTCTCTTCTATTTCGCTACAAGAGACCTGCTGACACCATTTGAACCTGTCTTGAAGTTTTGTACTGTTAAAAGTGTTATTTTTCTTTCATTTTGGCAAGGTAATATACATATAAATTGTTTAAGATACTATGTGTATGCATAAAGAACATAAATTTTATTTTATAAAATCCTTTTAGGAGTGTTATTGGCTATTCTTGAGAAAGCAAATGTAATTTCTCCTATAAGTTTAGATCAGACAACTAGTGCAGGCACAGTTTCTGCTGGTTATCAGAATTTTTTGATTTGCATCGAAATGTTATTTGCTGCTATAGCTTTACGTTATGCATTTCCTTACCAAGTGTATTCAGCTGGTTGTGTAACAGATTCAAGAGGAAGAAGTGTAACAATGCAAAGTATTAGTAGCAGTTTAAAGGTATGTTATAACAATTTCTAAATGATCTGATGAGTGAGAAAGCAACAAGATTGATAATTTTTGAATATTTATATTTAGGAAACAATGAATCCAAAAGATATAATGACTGATGCCATTCATAATTTTCATCCACAGTATCAACAATATACCCAATATAGTTCTGGTATGTACAATTTATTCTTATTTTTTTTATAAATATTGTATTTTAAATTCTTTCTATTATTTCATTTGATTGATACATTTTCATATAGCATGATGTAGAGGACGATGAACTAAAAACCATTCATATATTTTATTGTTTGTTTATATTTATTACTTAAATTACTTAATTCTCATGTGCAAAGTATATAAAAGATAAGACTTACAATCGTTAAAAAAAAATTTTCATTAAAATTTAAAATAAATGTAACTCTTATGTTCCTTTCATTATGGATCTTAGCTCTTTACGTGATAAAGGTTATTTTAATATACGTACATTTCTTAATATACTGCCAATTATCAGGAGAGAGTAAAATAATATAAATTCACATACATATATTTATCTTTTGCGACAAAAAACATAATAAAATAGTTTCTCAAAATGTGAAAGATAATTTTTATTGTAAATTCATTTAATATGTGCCAATTAGGATTATATTCTTTGAAGGCACTTTCTTCTTACTATTTTTCAGACGTTAATACCAACTTGCCGTATGAAAAACTATGAGAATGCGAGGCGTCGTTTTTTAATTTCAAGAAATTGGACATGAGGCATTCATACATTTTTTAAAAGAGTTGGAAAGATTTCTTAATACTGTAGTTTATTAAAGTTAATATTACAAATTTATTTGATACTTTAAGTTTGAATTAAGTTCGAGGGTGGGCATAGTGTTCTCTGCTCAAATTATGATTTAAGGTTTATATTAAAACCAACCAACACACGCTCACACATATACATATATACATACGCGCCCACACACACACACACACACCACAGCGAGAAAAGAAAGAGCATATGATTTATTAACTTTGCAATTTATAAAATCTACTGTACAATAGAAACTAAGCACTTAACACAAGAGCACTTAGAGTACAGTGTAATTTCATAAAAAAGTTTTGCTTTCTAATAAATGCAAAAGACAAATAATAATTGATTACTATTTTATGGCAGTATTGTAATTATGTATTTCATAGATAGGCTAACGATTATTATTAAAATACATGGTATTTTTTTTGTAATGCTTTTATATTCCAAAAGATGGCATGGTTTATATTTAATTTAGCATGCTAATATAGCTGTGTTATTTTCATATATTTTTTTCTTACATATATATGTATGTTTGGTAACATCAAATTCAAACAACAAATTTAAATTTTTATTGTTATAACATGCATGAATTATTTAATGAACATATATGTATAGTGAGATTGATCAAATAAAGAAAAGTGCTGTAAATTATGCTATGCGTAAAAACATTTCATCAAATCACGTGTACAGCTGTACATAGCCTGTACAATCGATATAGCCAATAATGCTTTGAATAAAAGAGAAAAAAAAAAATATCGGCATGATTTCTCGCTGTTCACTGGCTGATCGATATATTCATTAATAATGGATTTATCAGCGATAATACGTGATGTAATGTAACAATCAGGAGCTCCTAAAGGACAACGTGGTATGCGGATATCCAGCTTCGATCCAGATGATCCACAGAATATGCCAATACCGCCGCCACAAAGACGGCACACTTCTCATCAACGTGTTGCTACAATCTCTCAAAATTATAATGAGAAGACCATGCTGTTGAGCAGTGATGATGAGTTCCAATAAATGTAAACGAAAGATTGTATACAAAAGAAGCAAAGAAAGAAAGAGACAAAGAAAAACATTAATGTTGGACTTCCGTGAATCTAATTTCAAGAAAACGCTATGTATACCGTTAATTGATTATACGTCATTTTAGGTAGGAACTTAACTCGCTCACAGAACAAACAACAAATTAACAAATTTGCTGATGCAGAACTGCATCGTAATATAATAGTTCCATGTTACATTCATGTTAATACATGTATTATGTTACATCATGTAAACATATAGCATAGAAGATATTTATTTTAATATGCTGAACATGTTTAAAACAGTGTTACCTATAGAGGTGGCTCTATTATAATAACATAATTATCTTCATTTTGAAACACAACTTACGTTTTTCAAAGAAAGGCATTGTACAGTACTTAATATTCAAATACTCACAAATATGTTACTATATTATTTACTCTGTAGTTAAACGATATTTTTACACTTTGAACAAACACTATGTATATGTTTATACATCAGTATTTCTAATTCATATAAGATTAACGTAATTTTGCCAGGGAAAATACTTATTTTATAAAGCACACTAAGAAAAATACTTCTAATTACTGCACGCATTCGGGATATTTATATATATAAACTGAGCCACAAAAATCTTTGCGTCCTAGATTAAAAAATTAATGAGTGTATATATCGTTAAAAATAGAATGTATTTAATAATTTAAGAATTAAAGAATTTTCCTTCGATGTATTTTGTTTTATTTGCACAGAATTATTTGTTAATTATAGTTAATATTTTACTGACTTTATATGTATAAATATTTCATATATTTAATATCTCTGATATCGTATTTTCTTGTGTGTTTAAAAAAATGAGAACAAATATTAATTGAAATCGTAACTGAATTTTATTTTCTATATAGTAGAATAAATTGTGTACATAAATTTTTGTGTGGAGAGAATATACTGTTCTGCTTCATAAAATAACAAAAAAGTTAACTTATTAAAATAAAGTCATCGTTTTATACAATCAGTATTGTTTATATTAGTTTTAATTTTTACTACAAATCGATTGATCAAAAACATTGTGAAAATAATTAGGCTAATTTAAATATACATTAGTCGAACAAAAGATTGAATCTAACTGCTCTACAAAAAGTATATTGCATAAATTGTGTTAATATACTCAAATATTACAACTATCAGTGAAAAAATAACTTAGCATTTTTTTAACAGCCTTATTTTTACAGAAATTGTATATACACACATATACACACATACACACACGTGTGGAAATACAATAGTACAACATTCACTGCAATCCATTTACCAGCCTACCCAATACGTATCTTTATTTGTTACAATTTTTTTCCACCCATGCCAAGGTGACTCTAAATCTTGTTCTAGTAACGAAGTACACGACTCTTTTTCTAAAATCATGTCACTTGATCGTTCTATATGTACTTCTGAATCCGAAGTTTTATCGCTGATGGACAAAGAATTTTTATCCTCATCCTCAATATCTTGATATTGTAATTCGTCATCCATGTAAACAACAATATTATTTTCTTCGTTTGTGTATTTATTGTATTTCTCAGTAACATTTTGTTTTAGCATTTTGTTTCTTTTATCTTCACTGTTAATATCTTCATCATTATTGCTAAAATTAATTGGTTTAAATCCTATTGACCTTAGACGAGCAATTTTCAAATCATTATCCGGGATGTTGACAGGTACAAACGCAGATGTTCTTTCAGGTGAAAATTTATTTTGTTTCTTTGCAAGCAAAATATTACTGTTTAATGATACATTTGAATCCGTTGAATGCTGCATGTTAGATACAGCATTTGCACGAGATGCATATTTTTCAGTAGATGATCGAAACATTGAGTGTTGACCTTTATTTCTATTATTTAATTTTTTAGTTTCGTATATTTCTTTAAAATCACTGCCATACTCTATTTTAATAAATGTGTATTGTTCATTGCGGGCATTATTTTGCACGAAATCATTCGATTTCGGATTCTTTGCAATAGGTTCTTCAAGAAGAGAACACTGAGTGATAGCATCTGTTTTACATGGTTTTGAAATTTGTTCTTCGCTGCTATTTTGCAATTTCTCATTAATCTTATTACATTTTGGATCATTGCAAACTGTTTTCAGTTTCCTTTTCCGATTTTTTATAATTACTGTATCTTCATTTTCTACAATTTTCACATTTTTCTCTATAAATTTTGTTCTTTTATTATTGTCTTCTTTCTTACTATTATCATTGTCATCATTTTTTACATTATTATTATTATTGTTATTGTTATTAACAGTCTGTTTTGTAACATAATTTTTATCTACTTTTTTAGAAGTAGTGAAATTTCTGTCGATTTCACTACAATTAAAATTTAACGTTTCTGACATTTTAATGTTTCTAGTTTGATTATTTTTAACACGTTTACAACGCGTTATTTTTGTAAGTTTATTTCTGTTCTGGAAAGTAGATTGTTTTGTATTAACTTTACATTTGTTCAATGTGTACATTGCAGTATTAAAACGTTCATATAGTTGTTTTGTACATTCATTATTGATACATCGTAATCTTCTATATCGTGGCCCACGTATTTTAGGTCCAATTTTTGCATCTATTAATAAATTTGCAATTTCTCTTCTTTGTTTTTTATTTATATGTTTCTTTATCGAAGAATCAATTGTTCTCACAGCTTGTAAATGCAATCTTGCTTCCATTGTATTTGCTGCATTCTTTTTGATATATTTTGCCGAATTTGATAAATGATTTGATTCCTTTTTTTGTACATGATTTTGTTTTGTACTTTTATTTTTTAAATTTTCGCAAATATTTATTTCCCGTTTACTTTTCCGAGGATATTCTAAAATATCTAAAGACTGTACAGATCCATTTTTAAACTTTTCAGTATGTATTTTATTATATTTTAGTATCTCTGATTTATTCATTGTTTTTCTAGACAGCTTTCTACGCCTTCTAAATTTGTAAGATCTTGATCCATTTAAATCATCAGAAATAACTTCAAATTTAGTTTTTTCCTTTGTTTCTTGTGTATCACTTGTCTGATTTACTATTTCATCTTTAATTTTTGACTTGTCTTCGGCCTGTAATGCTATAGATTGTTCTGATGTTAGTCCTATCATATTACCCATTAATAATTTCGATAAAGGGTTGTTTTTATTGTTAATCAAATGAAGAATTTTATCTGGTGTTAATGAATCTAAAGAATCAAGCGATTTGATTTCTTGTAATTCTTTGGATACTATTTTATGTGTTGAAACTTCATTTTTATACATACAATTTGTCATGTTTAACATATTTGTTGTATCAGATAAATTCACACTATTGTTACATACATCTTTGGAATCATTGGTTATTTCTTTATATGTACAAGAATTTAAACTTGTATCAGTTGCATCAATATTTATTTCCGCATTAATATCTTTAGGATATTTTATTTTCATTGATTCTGATTTTACCACATTAAAGGAAACACAATTAATGTGCTTAGGAAATTCATTTGAAATGTTTGTTTGACTTTTTCCATCTAAATTTTTATTTTTATCTTTATTGGAATTTCGGTTTTCTGTATGTTGATTAGTTTTCACAATATTAAAAGATTTAGTAGCTCTACAAAATGGTGATGAAGTATTTTTCTTACTATTGTTTTGCGTACTATGGGATGAATTGTATAATCCTGTGCGTATAGAAATATTTGTATTATGAGTTTTAGATTCTTTGTTTCCAATACTAGTTAATGATTTATTTTCTGGCATAATAGGCATATTTGGTATATTTGATATACACTCTGCACTAGTATTTAATTTTTTAAATACATGACGAGTCACTATTGCACTTTCGGTTGAACTTTTCTTTGTTTCATCTACTTTTTTATTTTCATTTTGAGTATGTGAAAATCCATTTGAGTTTTCATATTTCTCTTTTTGAATTACAAATTCAGAACCATGTGAGTATTTTTTAAATTCATACATGTTTGAAGCAAAGTTTTTTAAATGATTTTGCAAAGGTGTAGAAGAATATAAAGTAGATACATGATTATTTGTACTTAAAGGAGCTGGCTTGGTACTCCATGATGGTGGTTCTTGATCGTTTATACGTAACAAAGCAAATTTATAATATTTTATTGAATCTGTATTTACACCTATCCAGAAATTTGTTACAATGTACAAACCATCATATCTATAACCTGTTTTTGGTGCAAATTCATTAAACAGATTATAACTTCTAATTAATCTCACTGGTATTTGATTTTCATAATTTTTAACAAGAGGATCCTTTTCCGATTCACCAACGGAAAACTTTTGTCCTGTAATAGTGAGAGAATTACCCAAATCTATATCCTCATTTAAGTTAACATTTGAAGTACAAATTGAAGTAACTCCAAATGGCCCATTTTGAATATTTTCATCGAAAGGGTCATGAATACGATCTCTTGAACAATCCATACGGATACCCCACCATGAACCAGATGAAAAGCTTGAGATGGGTCCATATATGTAACTTATAACCTGATATAAAATATTATAAAATAAACTTGTATAATATGTTATAATCTTATCGTAAAAGATAATGTTATTTGGAACTTACATTTTTTTTACACCAAGAATTTAACTGCGTATCTTCCTTGATTCTCTTTGTTTGACAAACATAATTAAGTTTAATAAATAACTTTTCATACTCTTTCTTACTTTTGATGTCTATCTGAAAAATCTTTACCAGTTAATAATATCATATTTTGTATCAATTTGTACATGTAATACTTACTTGATTATTGAAACACGATTCCTGCAGCATTCTTTCATTTTCTTGAACAGAGTTTGTAATGATGGTCTGTAAAGCATCATTTTCAGCCATTTTATAACATACAATGATTAAAAAAAAAAATATATATATAGTGCATATATAAACAGTCAATCACAAACTATTCTTTCACTTATGTGTATACAACTAAAATCTTACAGGTATGTCGAATTGCTCCATTTGCAATATCAATATATCTCAGATCTCGCAGCTTTATGTAAAGTATACATTTTATCCTTTAAAGTTCGAATTAACATATGCATCCCAATTTATTTTCTAACCAACATTCTTGCTCCGTTTTGTAAATTAAGCATAAAACAAATCTTTTAAAAACAAATATGGCGTACTTTTATTTTCGCCGTGCGTCTAGATTCATTCATTGATTCATTTATTGCGTCGTATACACGAAGTAAATATACCCTCTTAGCAGTCGATATTTATCACTCTTTTTTTTATAACAGTTGTATATATCTAGATTACAAACAATATAAGCGTAATATAAATATTATAAACTAAATAACTTTGAAATGTGATTTGTTCACATACATACTACGTATATGGTATGTTCACATGAATACTTGAAGGGAATGCGCCAGGAAAAAAATTCTCCTATAAACTATATAATATATATATATATAGGTTTTACACGCCCTCATTGACTGTTACCTATCATTTCTAATCTAATTCAAATCTACAAAAGACATATAATATATTACAATAGAGGAATATTACATGTACAATACTAAATAAATATATTTATATTCGTACATGTGTACATGCATATAAGTCACACAGAAATCTATTTTACTGACAGAAAAATTAAGAAATGTTGAAAAAGTATTTTAACTTTTAAGTCGTCTTTATTTTCAATCTTAACTTTATTTCTATTGAAAATGAACTATTTCAGCCAATTTCGGGACCTGGGAATTTTCAGAAGTGCAACCGAAATATACGTGTATATCTCTTTAATGTTCATAAAAAATCTTTATTTTCTTATAAAATATATTAACATTAAAAATTTTTGTACAAAGTTGAGTTTTAAATGGATCTTCCCAATCTTACTGAAAAGAGTGCTCCTCTTCTGGACTCAACGAACATTCAACATTTTGTTGGGCAACAAAAACGTTCTGTGCTTTTGTTGCTATATTTCCCTATCACAAATAATTTTCACAATTAATGATTGAATTAATTACTTTTCAATGGTACTGATCTCAATGTTGTACCTGAGTTACTGTAGTAGTACTGTGACTACCACTGGACATACAAACAACCACCAATTTCGGCGCATTGCTTTGTATGTGTGTTTTTTGCTGAGTGACATTGGTTTGAGCTATTTTAACTTGTTGTTGCGACTGTTGTTGCTGCTGTTGCTGAGGCTGTTGTTGTATTGCGTTAGCATTAATATTTGTAGCGGTTGGTGTTTGAGAACGGGATTGCAAGATAACGAATTTTTGTCCTCCAGCTGCAGTAGTTCCGCCAGCGGTTCTACTTGTACCAAGCATAATAGTACGTCCAGTTTGTTGCCCAGGACTAGAGCTTGTTACTTCAATAAAAAACGAATAGGGATAAGTACATCTGAAGTAAACAAACTTGTTTAACCTTATGATTTATAATTACCAGCTTGTACAATGGTTTTTCCAGTACACGTAGGACCTTGTTGACTTGTTGTTAAAGCCGTAGTTGTGGATGCAGTTGTTGCTAATGTTACTGGCTGTGTACGAGCTTTTACAACAGCTGCGCATAATGCAGGACCTATATAACCATAATCCTGTTTATAATCTTCTACATAATCTGGTGGAGATCGTATGGTTTTTAAAACAGGAGCCACTGATTTCTGCAAATTTCATCACACATTTTCCTATTTTATACGGTATAATAACGTATTAGTAAAGATATGTAAGAAATATATTAGTATAATTTAACGTATACTAATAAGAAATAATATTCACCACAAGTAAAGTCTTTATATGACCTGCTCCATTTTTATCCACACTTGATAGACCTGGTCCTTCGATACATGATTCAATACGTTCGGAAATAGACTTAATTTTAGGAATAACTAATGCTTTAATTACTTCTGGACCTAACTCACAAAGTCCTTCGATTGCTCCATAAAGTGACGCCAGTGGAGTCTAAAAATTTTAATATTTTCATTATTGTTGTCATTATCACATTATTATTTCTATTGTATTGTTATTATTTGTATTGTTTATTTCTGATATAGTCTCGCAATTATACCTGATTATTTTTTGCCAAAGCCTGACTAAACATTCTAGTTACTCTAGTTTGTACATTATTAGTAGAGGTATTAAAATTTTTGCAAATTTGGGCCATAAGGCGTGATGCAAAATCACGAAGCGCCCAGTGATTGTCCACTTCTGGTCTCATACACAACTGGCGTGAAACTATACATGTTGCGATCGATGGTATTAATTCATGTAACTATAAAATAAACAATTAATGAGTATTAATGTGTACATGCGTATATACAAACATTCTCTAATATATTATTTCTCTAATATATTATATACATACATATTTTTCTAAATAAAGACTGGGATTGTCCAAAAGAGCTTTAACCATTCGCATTAGATAAATTAGAAGAGCAAGATGGTTTTGTACTACATTAACACGTACACCTTCTGCAATAAAAGTACACATTCGTGCTAACATTTCGTGTAAACCAGGATCAGCTGAAAGGGATTGCAATGCTTCCGCTCTGCGTGCTTCATCAGAACCAACACACGCTTCGGTAATTTCTTTATAGTATAATTGTTGTTCAACGCTCAGTTCATGGGTGGCTAATTGTTTAACATGAACTGTTTCCACATTACGTAGTTTTTGACTTTTACCACCACCACCTGGTTTACCAACACCAATGTTTTGACTCTTGTTTGTAAGCTTACTTGTTGGATCAACACTTTCCAGTTTTTGAACATCTAGTACATTATTGATCAATTAATAATAGATATTACTACGAGTTAACATAATAATCCAAAAAAGGAAAGTATTCTTACCTTTAGAAACAGGAGGAGGGTTTTCTGGTATTGTAGGCTGAACCCCATCTATACAAAGCCAATGAGCCCGTAGTGTAATTTCTAAAGGTAATTTAGGCCATGTTTGTCCACCGGACATTGATATAACCTCGTTAAGATCAATTTCCTTTTCTTCTACAAAATGTAATTCACGGCCACCGCCAGAGGCAAAACGAAATGGTATATGATCCTTGGCAAAAAATCCATACGTGGGTTCAATATTTTTTATTTTCAAGGCATAATCTATATCGTGTGTTGTCATTCGTTGACGTTTACCATGCCTCATAAATTTGGCGGCATCCTTCCAACAACATCAGAAATTTTAATTACACAAGTTTAACTTATGGAATGTAATTTGACTACTACAATTTTGTAGATAGACCTACCTGTATGATTTCCTTCAGTCTGTAACTTACATCCTCGGCAAGATCTTTTGCAGCCTCATCCGGGAAATTTCCAACACCTATACTTTCTGCAATTACCTTTATCGACTCTTGGGACAATGTAGTTCCATAAATAGACTCACTTTCATTCATCTTGAAAGTATCTTGATCATCATATTCCATATGAAATGCATTAAAAGTCACTCTCCAAAATGGTTGACAATGTAAACACTGTTTGCTATAAACATACATTCTATATACACATAATACATTTCTAGAAACGATTAACTGCACAATATAATGAATTCTGTATTTTGAATTCAATTTCATATCAATTATTAAAGAATGTAATCATATACTCACAATGTAATATTAATACTCACAAATTTACACTACAATAGCTTGGTAATTTCCCATCTAATAATCGAGTATTACTTTATCTCAAAGTGCTGTTTGTATGAATTCCACGAGCTATTTATTTATCTGTACAATAGCAATCTGCACAGATATAAATAAGTTTTATACAGACTTCTATGTTTTGTTTGCGATTATGAAAAATCCTATCTGTATTTATAATTATACAGAAAGGTTCAATGAAACACGACAAACGTGCAACTTCCACCACCGAGACGCGACTACAATCACGTCCTTTTGTCATGTGTGTCGTTGTCAGTCGCAGGGAAAAATGGCCGCCGTAGAAATTGAATGACAGTTATGGAACAAAGATAATATAACTACTAGACTGATGATTCAAATGCAAGTCTTTCGTTTGGCCACTAATTTATCCTAATCAAAAACTTGAGCGATTTTTCTCGATCTTGCAAGAACATTGTATTTTTTATTTTTTTCTTTTTTTTTTCTAAAAGACAGAAATATATTACTTTTTCAATTTCCCATAATTAATTTCTCATTATTGATACAAGAAAGCATTTGAGAGAAAAAAATTCGAACAAGCAAGCAAATTATCTGGTCTCCAATTATATCTAAGAACAAAGAAGACACTATTTTAGACGAGTTGAGAACGTACCCTATGACCTGACGTTTATTTGTAATTCTTTGTACTCATTTGGTTTTGTACATAAATTGTATTTATATATATAAATACAATAATTTTATAAATATTTTATAAATTGTATACAATAAATACAATATTATATAAATACATAATTTTATATATATTATATTTCATACTATACTGTAGCAGTCATACCATAATTATATATATTATATCTCATACCATCTCGCATATGTACATACACTGCTCACAAAAATTAGGGAATATTTCAAAATAAATATGAAGCAATAAAAAAAAGAAGCAATTGATTTTTCTATTAAGTAAGAATATCAGAAAAGCAAACAACAAGTCAAAGAAAGTTGTTTGATTGTTCAATAAAAAAATCAAATGCTTCTTTCCTTTAATGTTTCATATTCATTTCGAAATATTCCCTAATTTTTGTGAACAGTATATATATATATATATATATATATATA